TTTGAAGCTTGTGTAAGTTTGTTTAGTAGGGTTGGGTTGAACGTAGCTCAACCGGTGAGAAGAGTCAGCAATTACCGTATCTTGCTGACATCTCTAGAACAATGCAGAGGAGCACTGGCAAAACGTATAGCACATTGCATGAGGAAATCATCACATTTCCCTGGTGAGTCATCTTATTTTTCAGGACATGCGAAGGGTACAAGCTGTGTTAACACTTCTGGGTTAACGGAAGTGGTGGTGTTACTCATGCGGGCTCCCGGATGTAGCATAGAGGTAGCTCGCCGGTTCCACTGCTAGTTGGAGGAGGTCTTCCATAACACTGGCCATTTGTTGCAAACGCTGTTCATGATCACCCAGGAGTTGACCTTGTGAGGTTACAGCAGTCTGGAGCACGTTTAAGTCGTCTGGTACAATCCAAAATCAGAGATGTGATAAACAGACCGAGGTCAGAAAAATACCAAAATGTCAGAGATCAACATTAAGGCAGACAGGGGCTAGGCAGGGGCAAAAACTAGACAAAGCAAAAAGGTAAGGCTCAGAACTGTATAGACTTTGCATTGTCTTTAAGGTCCGTGTGCTTTTTTAAACTGTTCAAACAGGAAATGAGAGTAGTAGAAGAAGGGGTTCAGGCTGTCTGGTGGAGCAGAGTCTGGATTAGACATCAGCAGTTACATCAGTACTTTTTTTATCCATTGTTGGAAATATTTATTCTTGATTGTTACCTTTTTTGGCACACAGTACTCTAATGTTAGTGAGTCAAATACTATAGGCTAAATAAAATGCTACCAGAATAGATCAAACCACATAGTTTACAGAATTCCAACATGCTACGGATTTGCCAAGGTCCCAGTAGAAAATCATTTTGCTTAAGTGTACATACTACATTCAGTTGGTGGAGAGCACAAATACTGATGGATAAATTTACATCAGCTCACAGTGTGAGAGTGAGCATCACTGCTGTACATATAATGCTCTAAATACAAACAATCTACCTTTTATATTTGAGAGGGAATTTTAAAAAATTTCCAATACGAATGTGATAAAGTGCAAAATGTTTGTGAGGAAACAATAAATTACTTTTAGAGGCTCTTTGTTGTCGTCACATTTTTTGATGAAAGATTTACTGTCACATAGGAAGCACATGGCACCTGACACATTTACAGACCCATTTATAGAGTCCATTTCGTCATTTTTAATTACGTGTACAGTGTTTTATTTTAACTGTACCACAATTTTTTTTAGAAAAGTCGTATCTGTATTAAGGATATCTTAAGGAAATCTCTAAGAAACTAGTTTAGGAGTGCCAGAAAAATGCTTTTAAAAAGTGTTTTATTTACATAATATTAAGATACATGGAACTCCATAAAGGCCTGTGTAATGTAATTTCATTACCTTTTCTATTAACCTTAATTTTCTTTCAAAATATTCCTAAAATATAACAAAAAATACATAAATACAAATAAACCTTCTCATTTTACTGATCAAATGTAGTTTACAGCAGAGTCTGAAATATATCAGTTTGTGTTTTCGAAGCATACACACACACACACACACACACACACACACACACACACACACACACACACACACAGACAGAACATTAGAATGAGTAAGCACTTTGAGCAATCAGAGATGATCATCAGTTTTAGGAGGTGTCCACTCTTAGATAACTGACGTTTTGCAAAACGCGTATTACGACACCTTCGTCACAATTAGTGACAACGTCTTCATGTCAAGGTTGGCTACCTGATTTGGGTGTTTCTTCTTAGGTGTTTTAAAAAAATTAAATATATATATTTCCAAATCATTGGCAAAATAATAGCGTTAAACACACCTGAAAATGCACACCAGGTTTTTTTTTTTTTATTGTGAATGATAGACAGATGCTTGCTAAAGAAAAAGAGTGAGGAGATAAAGCCCAAAGAGAAAAAAATGAATAATCAATAAGAGATACAGAGGAAAAATCTGTTAGACCTAACATGCTCAGGATAAGCCACAGATAAGCTTGCTTATGATAAATTTGCTTGAGATAAGATGTTCAGGCTCAGGTTGGACCTTCTGCACCATAATCATGTAGTAAAGAGGTATAAGGTGGACTGTCAGCGTTCACCATCAGCTCGAAGTCCCTGTCCTGTGTTCGATATGCTCAAGGCAAAGTGAGGTGAAGGTTGGAGATGGGAGCTCAATGAACCCTGTTTGAGGCACTTGACACAGAAAACTGACTCCCAAACACATTAAAACTAAAAATAATCTCTTACATTTATGTAATTTCATTGCAGTGTATCACCTTCAAGGTACTCAGTTCTGTTTCTCTGAGAAATCAGAAAAATGATCATGTGAAAATACTGTACTGGTGGGCATTGCGCATCATGAAATGTCAACGAATACATTTTTCAGTTTATATATGATACTGATACTGATCTGAAACTAGCATTTTCTTATTAAACAAGCCTTCTTCCTGCAAACCTCTCAAGTCGAGTCAAATAAGCCTTACTGTCATTGTTAGAATGAAGTATAGTTCCTCCAGAATCACAGTGCTACACTGCAGATGAAACAGTGACCAGAGGATACGTAACACAATGACCGGCAATGCAAAATCAATAAACGCAGTAAATACAGACAATAGACTATACGTTCATTCATTTATCTTCAGTAACTGCTTTATCCTGGTCAGGGTCGCAGTGGATCCACTGGGCGTGAGGTGAGGGCACACCCTGAACTCCAGTCCATCGCAAGGCACCACGCACACACACACACACATTCACACACTCATTCACACCTAGGGCTGTTTAGCTTAACCACGTATACAGAACCTCCACCCAGACAGTATATAACTACACTCACTACACTCACCATTCTGTGTAAACTCTCAAGACTGTTGTGTGTGAAATGCGAAAAGTTTCTCAAATACTCCAACCAGCCCATCTGGCACCAACAGCCATGCCATGGTTGAAGTCACCGAGATCACACTTTCTTCCCATTCCGGTGTTTGATGTGAACATTAACTGAAGCTCTTGACCTGTATCTGCATGATTTTATAAATTGCGCTGCTGCCACGTGATTGGCTGATTGAATAACTGCATAAAATGAGCAGGTGTGCAGGTGTTCCTATTAAAGTGGATGGCGAGTGTATATTAATAATATTCTAGAGAAGCCACTAGTGTATGTGCTTGGATGAAAACATTTGCACTAGGTTTCCTGTCTGTCTTCTTTCTTGTTTGCTGAAACTTCATCTACATGGGCATTTAAAAGGACAGCATGGAGAGCACACAACTGGAGCTCACACTGTAATTCTGTGACATGTTGCGATTCTTTTTGTGCTGTGAATGACTGGTGTTTTTCATGACAATACCAGCAGTGATAATGACTTCCTAGAACAGGCCAGGGAGGCTTGGCAAAGAACCAGGCTTAGCTCTTTGCCCAGATTCTTTTGAGAATCTCAATGAGTGTGAATGCAAAAAAAAAAAAACAAACACATAATATATTTGGAGAGTTCCCACGATAGTCAGACAGACAAACTTTATGACATTACTGGTTGCAAATAAGAGGCACTTTGTAGAGACAAGATGTAGATATTTAATGTAGAGATAAGCGCTGATTCAGCTGAGTGCTGAAATTCAGTTGAATTATGCAGGGGGGACGGCACAGGGAATGTAAAACAACATGTGATTGCGGAGATCACGGCAAAGGCTTTGAACAGAAGAAAAAGGGGGAGTAGAGAATGTGTGTGAGAGAAAAGTAAGAGTGAGTGAGAGAGCAAGTGAGATTGAGATTTTTGAGGTGCACCACATTTGTAGACCAGCTTCATGCATTCAGTCAATTAAGGTAAGAAAATCCATTTGCTGTATTTGTAATGTGGATAATTGTTGCTTTATTATTATTATTATTATTATTATTATTATTATTATTATTATTTCTTTTTTACCCTTTTATTAATTCAAACATTTATCTTCTAGTATATCCAATATATGAAACTGACTTTGCAATGAAATGACTTTCAAAATTTTAAGAGTGCACAATGTATTTATTTAGATCTTTGGCTATCTTGACTCCTTTCCAGCCTGATTTTAACCTTCTCAATGTTCAGTCTGGACTTTTCTGTTTTGCTTAGAAGCACTTGGTTTACTGAGGCTGTGCCATTTCATCCACAGGCAGCCAGACTGCACTTTTTAGCCACAAAATCTTTCTTTACAGCTTTTTTTTTTTTTTTTTTTTTACATTTTGAAAGTGAAACTGAAAAATAACCTGCAAAATATGTAGCAGAGACTGACAGATTAAAGCAATCTACATGTGTGTCTGTGGTAATCTGTGAGGAAAATCGTGTGAAACGGATGTTGGTACCTCTCCTTACCAGCGGCATGACTGTCTTTTGGCTTGCATTCCTTTCAGCATGGAGACTGGCTACTGGAGAGTGCTTTAACCTCCATTTCAGTTTCTCTAGCAGCTAGCTGAAGTTCCTTTGGGGTATTATTTCCCCTGAGAAACTCTAGATCAGTGAGCCTTCAGCTGTGTGACAAAAATATAAAGTATCCAGAACATATTTGACTTAGTCACATATTTGACTTGCTCTTTTTCAAGCAAGGCCTGGCCATGAAGGTAACACAAGCCATATTCAGACACAGAACATAAATAACCCTTATAACAGCACGGTGAAACAATTAAAAACAGTAGCATTCATACCAAAACAATGTCCTTATAAATAAAATGATACATTTCAATTCTGATCATGAGATTAATTGCAAGATGATCCTGTGAAGTCATTCTATGATGGTGTGTTACTATAATGAAATGCTGTCTTACCAAATAAATAAACACAACTATAAGAATGTAAATTATATTTCATGTGTTGTGTTATACAGATTGTGTTAAGCAGATTGAAATTTACTGAAGAACTACAGAATTGCCTTATATATACAGAAAAACTCCAGTATTCCCTTTCTTGGCACCGAAAGCAGAGGCGATCAGTAATTTAACAGACATTACAGTGACGAATACAGGGGTCCCTGGAGGACTAGCGGTTAGGCCACGGCTCTCTCAGTGCTGCAGCCCGGGTTCGATTCCCAGCCTGGGAACTGACTCCAGCCACTGGGGGTGCACTTTCAGTGCCGGTCCCAAGCCCGGATAAAACTGGGGAGGGTTGCGTCAGGAAGGGAACCTAGCATTAAAAACTGTGCCAAATCAAATATGCGGACCAATGATCCACTGTGGCAAACCCTAAAGGGAGCATCCAAAAGAGGACCTACAACAACAGCAATGAACACAACTTCTAGTATTTCTAAACAAAAAAACAACTAGTTTTAACTTTAAAGTTCTTTTATTATCATTTGTTCAGTGTGATCACTGTTTAATACAAAAAGTATTTATATGATGACATTAATTCTATTGGTCTGCCCTGCGAGGCCTGTGTATATTTTTGCGAGATAGAGATCAAATGTATCAGATTTTTAGAAAATTCCATGCATTTTTTTTTTTTATCATTTAGGACTAATTTTAGATCGTTGAGACTTTGCTATATGGAGCTATATGCAATTGCTTTTTTAAGATCTGAGATTGCCACAGCTGGAGATCAGACAAAATAACAGATAACAGTGCCATCAGGATATAAATGCAAATCGGAATTGGAGACATTATTGCCAACATCATTAATATATACAGAGTGAATAACAGCGGCCCTGAAATTGAATCCTGTGGAACCCGAGCTTTGACACTCATTTTAGCAAAAAGGAAAGGTACGGAAAAAAGTTTACCGTAAAATGTACCATATACTGCATTTAAACAGCTCCTTCGCATCATAAGTTGAGTGAATACTCCAATGTTTAATCACTTTAGTTCAACAAACCTTTTTTTTCATGCTTTCGTTGCTTGACTTTCTTATTTTTGTCTTGTTACAGGGAACAAGAACAGCATGATAACAAGAGTTGAAGAGTGAACAGTAGGGGAAAAAAACCAAGAGGGTAGGATCTTACCTAAAATTTCAAAATATAATACTCCAAAATTACAATACATTTGGATTATAGCTACATTTCTATGACACTTCCACAATCAACTGTTTTTTATATAGTTTACAAAGTGCTTTAATGTTTAGAGAGATTTTATCCAATTAAAGAACTACTGAAAGGAAAACTAAAGAAATATTTTTAATCGTCATTAGTGAACACAGAGTCAGCCATATTGGGAAGCTTCTAATGCAGTGATGAATGTGACAGAAGATTACCAAAGATATTTCAGCTACAGCTTTAACTACAGCCTTGCCAATGGCACATCAGGAAATGGCACCATTGGAGGTTTCCAGTCTCCTTTCCCTCCAGTCATGGACAAGGCCATCAATGGGATCACCATCATCATCCTCTTTATCACTATGATTTCCCTGGGCTGCACCATGGAGATAAACAAGATCAAGCACCACATTGTCAGGCCGAGTGGTGTGGGCATTGCGGTGGTGGCTCAATTCGGAATAATGCCTCTCACAGCCTTCTGTCTGGCCAAGATCCTCCAGCTCGGGCCCATTGAGGCCATCACTGTACTCATCTGTGGATGCTGTCCTGGAGGAAATCTCTCCAACATTTTTGCCTTAGCTCTCCAAGGGGACATGAATTTAAGGTAATTTACACTGGCCTACATTTAGCAAGAGTTTCAGAGGTGATTTTCAGCTTTCCTTCGCACACAGAACTGCATTTATTAGGATTTAAAAGGTATATGATCCAAATGGATGATTCCATGATAGGGGTATCATTTGTGTCCCACTGATATTCCAAATATGTATGTAAATAAAGGTAAAAGACACTAAAAAACAGAGGTAAAATGCTCTATACAACACTTAGACAACAGCACTTTGGCCTTCCCCAACCATATGTAAATACACTTTACCTTAAAATATAATCATTAAAATACTTAAAGAATATTATTATTTTTTTGCATTAATTCATAAATGTATTTACCATCTCATGCTGGAAACATGTAACTCCATAAGCCAACCGTTATAGATTAGGAAAAATTGACTTTTTAGGACTTTTTAGTTCCACAACATTTACTCAAACACATTGTCCTCTATGAAATATATAAAATATTCCACAGCAAACAAGTTCAACAGGAATTTCTGAATTTCCAGATCATGGGAAGAAGAAAAATAAGTTTTCATTTTTTTCCCCAGTCATACTGATAGTTACTCATGTCGTTTGTATTTGCTAATTCTATGCTCAAAAACTCACACTTTTACTTCTTAATCCAAAGAGCAAAATGCAACCAATTCCAGCAAAGAAACCTTGTAGAAAATTAGATCTTGTTGCTGGAGACTGTTCAACCCATTTTTGAATGGTTAAATACATGATTTTTAAGATTCAGTTTTGAAAAAAGATTTTTTTAAAAGTTTATTTTTAAGAGTTAAAACGGCTAAATGGCACTTCAGTTGTGAAACCTCCCAAATAATCCCAGATCAGTTCATTCACTGAAGTCCCAGACTAGTTTGTGCAACACTGCAAGCTTCCTACACTTTTGTTTAAATGCTATTGTTAGCACCTGCATAGAATAATGACACAGAGAAGTGAAAAGTGACACCGAAACTCTCTTCTACAGTATTGTGATGACCACATGCTCTACAGTTTTGGCGTTGGGTGCAATGCCCCTTCTCCTGTATCTGTACTGCCAAGGGCTCTCTGGTCTGGAGAATGCAGTTCCCTACACTGGGATCTTCATTGCTCTCATCATGACCTTAGTGCCCTGTGCTGTAGGAATCGCCATCAACCACTGGGTACCACGCTACTCTCAAATCGTAACTAAGGTATAATGCACCACAAAAGTTTGTACCCCTCTGGGGTTTTGAATGGGAAAAGAAGGAACATGTACCTCTATTTTATGATTCATCTACAGAATTCATTCATCTATACAACCCTAACACTGTTGAAAAATCCAGCTTAGTCTGACCTGCTCCCAATCTTTTCCAGCTGGCTAGTTATTTTCCAGCTTCCTTATTACATGACTAAATTGATTAATAAATGCTTGAGATTTTCTAATTGCCGTAATATTGTGCTGCTTCCTTAAAAATATGGTCTACCAGGGGTCACCTGTCTAACTTTCTTGTTACTATAAATTACGTTTCTTTATGTATGCCATCTTTTGCACTTTGTTGTATATTAGACCTTTGGTGTAACTTTAGAAAACATTCTTCTACAATGAATTAGTAACAAATCTGCGGTATATTGTCTGTAAAATCAAGGATTCAGTTTCAGACACAAACTGAAGTCAGCACCAATGAAAAGTCTTTCAACAGATCCAGTTAGGCTTAATGACCATTAAGGAAAATGGCTCTTTATGCAATTTCGATATAGGCAGTTGAGTTATACTTACATATATGCTAATATTTTTGTACTGTATTGTTTATAATAATTCTGAGTGAGGCTTCTGCTACCAACCACAACACTGAATTGAATTCAGTGAGACACCAATGATGCTCATCTTTTCAACAGGCTGGTCTTAGCATCTTGCTAATAGCCACCGTGGCGATTGGTGTGATGTGCGGCATCACTTTAGGATCGACAGTGTGGATTGTGCTCTCTCCTCAAATCATGGCTGTGGGTTTTCTCATGCCTTTCATAGGCTACCTGTTAGGCTACACCATGTCCATGATCTTCAAGCAGAATGGCCCGTGAGTACCAAGAATGTCTTTAAAGCATTAAAACAAAAATGAAATTGGACAAACATTTTATAAGATACATCACTGTACTTTCCTGTGAGATGCCTAATGTCATAGTGCTAAAATGTAACCCAGTATTTCCAGTATTTTACATCTCCACTCCACAAATTCACACCGGCTTGTGGGACATTCTAAATGCTTAACGCGAAAAAAGCTTAACACGGCTTAATGTACCAAAACAATGACCAAAGCAACACCAAATCTCACACACTATCCTTGTCATAAACACTATCTTCATGGCCAAAGGACAAAACAATAATTGAAAAACAACACCATAATTTTCACATTTAGCGTTTTCATCTCTATAAGAACCCATTATAAGGAAACAGGTTAATGCAGCTTGATGTGTTAAAACAGAGACCTAGAAACACCAAATTTCTCCCTCAATTTATTGAACAGAACTACGAAATCAAAAAACATCCAGTACGTGGCAGTTCTGTGGACAGAAATGCCTTGTTGATGAGATAAGTAAGAGGAGAATGGCCAGAGTGCTTTGAGTTGTCAGGAAGGCTACAGTAACTCAAATACTCACTCTTTACAGCCATGATGAGCTGAAAAGCATCTCCGAATGCACACCACATCAACCTTAAGGAGACCACATCGAGTTCCGCTCCTGACAGCCAAGAACATGAATCTGAGGCTATATTGGGCACAGGCTCACTGAAACAGTGCAGTTAAACATTGTAAAAAGAAAAAGCGACAAAGCACCAAATTTCACCCATTTCACCAACTATTGGTCCCAACTACTGGCGTCTGTCAAAAGAATGACCCCATAAACTAAAAATAAATATAAAGAATTGGAGTCACTTGGTAGTTGTGAACATTAAGCAATGTCATGTCCCAGGTATGTTCTACACTTAAGTTTTTGGGTTTTTTTGACCATGTTTACCTTGTCAGTGACACATGGGGGATGGGACCAGTTGACACTGGGCCAGTTGTAATTACAACGTCGTTCACTAAAACTGTGGCATGAGAAAGTCGGACTGGAAATAAACAGCACCTGCACCTTTTTTTCGAGTTATTCAATCATTAGTAGGCTATCGCCAGCAGACAATTTGCTATGCAACTACGGACTGCCCAATCACATCTTTGCAAATATAAAACGATATGAAGTGAAATTGTGGATTTGAATAGATCTCTATGGAGTTTAAACTTCACTTAGGCTAGCAAATACAATGGAGTATGTCTCATGTAGCCTTTGTGAATTGAAAAACTAGTTAAATAAAAGCATATCTGCTGCATAGGAATTGATCTTGATAAGTCTGCTCAACCTGATTATTATAAAAGACACACTGGACAATTCCAGTTTTCTGCTGTCTTTTCAGGTGCAGGAGGACGATCGCTATGGAGACCGGCTGTCAAAACATCCAGCTGTGCTCAACA